GCAACCTGGTGTGTGCTAGTGAGACCAAAACACATAATATGTTGTGTTTTGGCCTCACTAGGTGTTTTGGAACTTGTTGATAGTGAAAAACTTTTGTTCAATTTGTTTCAAGGAACTGACTATTGGTAATCGCTGCTGTTATAACTTGTCTCACAGCTTAACAAGTAAATCTTTTCCGGTAGTCAGCTTCGCGGAGTTGTTGCGCGAGTGCAATTTGTAATTTATTCGTGTAAAGAGCAGTAATTTGCAGAAGTTTTCATGAAAATTGATTCAAAACCAGAACGCATTTATTCTTTCACGGTTGTTTTTCTCATATATGCGTTCGATTGAAATATTTATGGCTCTTAATGCTTCGCAGCGTTATGAATTCCTCATCAGCGGAGAGACTGTAATAATCGTTAGGCGTAAAACCAGCAACTGAAGTTCACAGGCGATGAAACAACTCCAGATGACCAAAAAACAAAATTACCTTTAAATCACGAACCAGGTCTTTTTGAGATTTAAGAATCATTGACAATTCTGGTAGGCTTGAAACCGTTTCCCTGACGCTTGAGTCTTAAATCCCCGCGATTACTCGCAAAATTTCGGAAATCTACAAAATTTACTACAGTTTTTTGTTCTAAAAATTGAAAAAAAAACAAGAAAATTTACTCTTACAAAATTTTGTTTGGTGAATCTTTTTTGCGCTTGGTTACTGTCCATCTACCAGGTTTTAAATCCATTGAAGAAGGGTAAAGTCACAAAAGATAGTTAAAGAAGTTGAATACTGAAAATGGTGAATCAGAAACAAAAGAACCAGTTTTTTCATATCTCGAATCAGCGACTTATGCTAAAAAAATTAGCACGGTCACCAGTTTTTTTGAGCATAAATTCATCAGGTAAAAACTGATCCTAAACTTTGGTCGAAAACTTTCCGAGAAGTTATCAACAACGGTTTGTTTCTAATAAAACCTGCGAGCAATTGAGAGTTTCAATAGGTAAGAATCTAACAGCTCTAACTCATAAGTAACAGCTCTAACTCTCGTTTTCGAACGTCTAATTTTTTCCATTTTTTTTGTTCGTTAATTTTTTGTCCCGTCAATGATAACTTTTGAATATGGCCACCACCAAGTTTTTTTGCAAATTGAGTTATAATTTTAGTCACAATGGTCTTCTGCTTATCAACGTCAGTTATTTCAAGCGCTGCACTCATCATAAGCTTATTGCCCAATTTCATCTTCCATCCTGTAAGCATTCTACCTTGCAAACGCTATGTGAAAAAGAACAAAATCAACAACCAGAGCGCTAAATCCACTGCCGCATTGTCTTTATTGTCTTTGCTCCTACAAAAATTTGATCCGGTGAAACTTTTGTGGGCTTAGTCACTGTTCATCTGCAAAGTTATAAGTCTATTGACAGGAAGAGTAATGTCATGGAAGATAGTTAAGACGTTTGTTTATTTAAAACTGTGAAAAAGAAACAAGAGGAACAGGTTTTTCATATCTCAAATAAACGAGTCATGCATAAAAATTGCCCCAGTAACCAGTTTTTTTGAGCATAAACTCAGTAAGCAAAAGAATTGATTTGAAATTTAGGTCGAAAGCTTTCCGATAAATTATCAACAACAGTTCCTTTTCAATAAAATCAGCGAGCATTGGGTAGCTTTAATATGTACCAAATCAGCTATAATTCTCGTTACGATTGTTTTTTTTTGAATGTTTCAATTTTTGCCGAGCTTCTACTACTTCTATAATTTTTAGTCACTTCTATGAGATTTTTTGAATGTGAAGACCACCACCAAATCGTTTTTCTTTTGCAGTTTGGGTTACAATTTCAATCACAGTGGTCTTCTGCTTAGAAACGTCAAATTTTTCAGGAGCTGCTGAGCTCACCATAAGCTGATTGCTCCATTTTAAAGTCCAGCCTGTAAATTGTTTTGCGATGAATCAATATTTCCTATAGCTCAATTATCAGTTTTGTTCTAAGGATTACTAGCCAAAAAAATCTATTGAAATTGAAAGAAGAGCTTATGCTAACAAATCCACATCTGACGAACATCAGTATTTGAGTCCGTAGAGAGTTTAATTGCTTTCTTGTAATTTTTAACTATTTTTTTTACTTACATGCTCAATTTTAATTGCTACGTCTACAAAACAATCAAAAAAAATGAACGAAACTTAATTCAGTTTTTTGTTTTGTTTTTCTTAGGAGTTAAGCTTTATTCAATGACTGCTTCTGAAGATGATAATCACGATATGATGGTTGAAATGGAACAACTGTGAAAGAATAAAGTAATAAAACCGAAGTTTTGGTATTTAGGTCTGCTACCGAATGTCTTAAACCTTTTTTTATTGCCAACTGAGAAGATGACGCAAAAAAATGTATAACTTTGTTTGTCTGTTTAAGTAATTAATTTTTTTAGTGTCACGACGAACGTCCATTGAGTTGAATCAGATCAGTCGTGTTCAATAAAAAATGTCAAATCAGCTTACTGTAAAATTTATTGTTTGTAATTGCCAATGAACAAAGTTGTTAAAGCATTCTCGTGATTTATTAAGGTTGTCGATACTAAAAATCAGATTTAACTCAATGTCAAAATAGTTGTGCATACTAAATGAACAAAAATTGACAAGGTAGTGCCTATACATTTTTTTTTCATACGATGAAAGAAACGCTTTTTTTTCTGAGAAACTTTTGAAAACCGAAATCAGTCTCGCCGGAGCCTGAGGTTACCAAAGTAGACATTCAAAAGCTGTTGTTCGCGGAAGCGATTTTGTTTATTGTAACAATTTTTAAGATTTTGGATATTCCAAGATATTGTCAACTGTGCTCGGTAGTATCGAAAACTAATGGCAATTTCCTTACAGATTTGTTTGTCAAATCATAATTCACCTATCAAAAGAGGTAGTATTTGGAAAATGAAACGAGCTTAATTTAAAAAGAAATAACTTCGAAGGAACAAAAAACAGAAAAAAACTACCAAGATCCCAGGATATATTTACTGTGTGTAAAGAGCGCTAAACACCAGCGAAGTTCAGAAATTTTCAATCAAGATTCCTTCTATTAAATCTGGTAGTAAATTTATTTTCCATAACTAGTAGCCCGAATTGCTTCTTTTGAATTTGAGGATTACAACTCTATGCTCTTCTAGTTTTTTTATTGTGGTGTATTCTGATTATATTTACTTATATTTTCCGGTTGCTTTATGTTTCATGTCTAACTGTATATTTTTTGACATTTGTGTTTGACATTATAATATTTTTCGATAAAAATTTCTTGAAATCTTCAAGTTCAAAACACGACAAGCAGACCAAAACTTGAAAAGAAAACATTCTCTGATTTGATAATTTGTTATCACAACGTTGGATATGATTATGATAACTTCGCTTAGCGCAAAAACCATTTCGGTCAATGAAAAAGCATTCATACCTTGTGTAACTGATAAAAATACAGTGAGAATCAATATTCTAGTCAAATTGAGCAGGACATTTTTTGGTAGTTTGAATAAATTATAATTCTTCAACGTTATTTGTTTTGACTTGACAATTAGCAGCATTATCTTGAACCGGAGAGCGCTGCATTAGTTTTCCTTCATGATATGAGACACCCGCAGAAATGACCCACTTGCATGATTTTTGGAAACATTATCTACGGCTTATTATGAAGTATAAATTAAAATGGGAGAAAAAAGACAAACTTGAGTATTGTCATGATTACTTGAAATGCATAAATTGTAGGCCGTTTCTAAATTTTCCACATGCTTTAGAAAAAACTAAATTTTATAAGGATTTTACAAGATTTCGAATTTTCCTGAAAAAAGACGTTGCTACAAATCCACAAAAAATTCGCAAAAGCGAGAGAGTCGCAAAAAACGGTAGCTTTAAAATGCACAAAAACTAATTTTTTGCTAGAATAATTTGTTTTTGATAATCTAAAAATTCTAAGGCAACACACTGACTTTCATTTTAAAACTAGAATTTATAAAACCAAGTTCCTGTAAAGATATGCAAATCTACAATCTGTATATTGAGTTAAGAAATTTCTGAATTGAGTTTTTAATTTTGGTTCTATTGTCTGAAACAGGTAATTTTTCAGTTCAATTGAGAATCCAAAACGTATCAACTCAGAAAAAAATTACATCGTACTATCACACTACGCTATGCACATGGTGTAAGATTCATGAAAACTTAGTTGTTTGAATACATCTGAAATGCAGCTTGGAAGGCAATATCTTGTAAAATTATTCGAAAACATGATTTTTGTTCCGACTTTCGATACGAAAGTAACGGAATATTTGTGCCCGGGGTGGGTTTTTTTTTCTCTTCGGACAAATTTCGACTTTTTAACTAGCCATTTTTGACGGAATTTTTTTATATCATTCAAAAGGCATTGTTGTACTGAGCTTAAATTTGAAAAGATATTTCAGCTGTGATCATTTTTCGTAAAGTTATGATGGTTTAAAGATTGCCATTTTGGCCATTTTACCAATTTGGGACAATTAACGCGCGATATAATTCGCGCTATTAACGCGTAAGCGGAAATTCAATCCGTCTTAAAAATCGTTTCAAACTGGTGATCGAAGCTTATTTGCCATAGTTAGATTGTTACAAGGAATGAAATCTCTCTTTTTGTACTTTATATGGCGTGTGGGGGGATGATTTTCATAAAAAATTCAATTTTTAGAAAAAAAAATTTTCGTTTTATTTTATTTCATTTCACTTAATTTTTTAAATGTTATTACTGCTGCTCCATAAACCTTAACGGCAGTCTGAACACTCAGGGCTTTGCCCTGATACGAGCAGTCTTGTTATTTCTTGCTTGCATGATATGAGAATTAGATTTTCTGATTCTCTTCTAAAAGAAGATAAATTCTTAAGAGTTTCGTTTCCTTTATGACCTGGTTTGTTTCCAAAATGCTGGGCTTGGAAAAACAGAAAGTATACGTTTTACACATGTTTGTCAAATATTTTTTCTAGAAAAAGAAACAGATAAGCAGAAATAATATCGAAGGAAAATCTTACCTGGGGTGTGAGAATTTCGATCGCGATGAAGAAATTGGCCTTGGTCAGAAAGAGTTTGCCTCTCTCATCTGACAGACCTCCTAGTACACACATTTTAAACAGAAGCTCATCTACGTTCTCGCTCACCTAGAAAAATACAAAGCAATCTAAGTTTATTCTGATGATTAAATGTTTGATAATGCAGCGTAAAACGCAAAATCTACAAACTTACAAAAAGCTTCAAAATTTCAAAAGACCAAGCCGAGCGATCAATTGTTAAGTGGTGCAACCGCAACATCCACTACTTAGGTGAACAGTTTCGGTATTTTTTCCTCCTGGGTGAAGTAATATTAAAGGTAAAAGTCAAAATGTTTAAGATATAATGAACCTTCTCAATTATCTCTAGATGTTCTGATATGAAACATCTAAGCTTTTTTTCAGTAGAGACATTTTGATTTTCAGAGATCGCCGTTCGACCAAAAATTCCATCAACAGTAAGGCTTAGGAATCCTATTCGTTAAAAGGATATTTGATCCCTTCACCTTCTTGTTTAAAGTATACGACATCCTTGTTTGGCCGAGCAGACTTTTGAAAAAAAAGAATTCAATCAGTTCTCTTAAACACTGATCCGATTCGAATCTAAGAAAAATGATAAAAATTGATTATAATCTATTTTTTGTGGTCTTAAACATTGTCAATATAATCGATTCTCATATTAAGCTTAGACCACAAAATTGGACAAAAAAATCGATTTAAATCCATTTTTTTCTGAAAATTTATAATGCATTTTAATTCATTTGAAATCCAAGATAATGGGTTACAGAACAACTACAAAATATATATAAAATGAATTTTTTCCACTTTTTTTTCGTTTCGCATTGTGCAAAATTTTGCAAGATTTTCTGCATTTAAAAATGAGTAATGCGAAACCTTTGCAAAAGTGTGTACGGCCTTCGTTTCATTCAAAAATAATTTTGTTGACCTTTCCTCGAAACCCCTAACGTTTTGCGCTGCAAAATTTTCAGGCCTTTGGATTGATAAGGTGAACCCAAATTTTACCCAAAACTCACAGATCTTCATTCTGGCTGGTTAATCATTTATGCGATTACACAAAATGAGCACTGTATCAAATTTGAGACAAAAATCCTTGGAACGTATAAAGCCAGATTTTAGACGTTAAACACTTAAACGCCTTTGGTTTTCAATTTTAAAAAATGCTTAAGTTGGAAAAAATTTAAAAGCTGAAAATTTTAGAAAAAATTATTCTTCAAACAGTTCAAAGTGATATACTCAGCAAATATCAATGCTTATCTGGAACAATTATTCATTCCAAATTGGACGAAATGGCAATTTTCAATCCTGCATACTGCAAAACTGATACAAGTTTGAAAATTTATTTTTTTTAAATTTTAGCTTTCGAAGGCAAATCCCGTAAAACACTACTAATTGAAAATTCAAAAAGTGTTTGGAGGAAAAATTATTCCAATAAAAAAAATACCGTCACTTTTTTTGAGAGTCAGAGAAAAAATGTAAATTAATTAACTTAATTTTGTCCAGATAGACAAAAAATTTATCACTTTGTGCTTGTTCTGACTTTCAAAAAACTGCGGATTATTTTTCCGATTATAGTAGAAAGTTCATAATATTTACGCCGGGGTGATTTTTCCTCCAGACAATTTTTGTCTTTGAAACTAAGCATTTTTGGAAGTATTTTTTAAAAGCATCTGAAAATTATTGCTGCATGGGGCTCAGAATTAAAAAGATACTTCTACTATAATTTTTTTGACAAATTTAAAAAGTGTTTGAGGTGGGAATACTTAGACACTATAATTTAAATAGTGATAATTATTGCAAAAATGTTTCCTTCCATTACAGCGTAAGCGGCAGATTAAATCATTTCAAACTGAACTAAGCAAGCAAATGGCTCTTATTAATACAATATCACGCGCGAAATTAATTTAAAAAAATATTGACTTCTCATTTTAAAATTATTTGATAACCATTCTCTAAATAATAAAACTTGTGGTTTTTAGCACCCGGCCCTGCTTCCACCGTTCTACCAGTGTTATACGAGCACCCTTGTTTATCCTTAGAGTAGGCTTTTTATTCAGTCATTTTTCTGCGATCAAAAGCATTGTTTTTGCCAATTTTTTTTCGCCCAATTGAATATGTCGACTACCATGTTCAAATGTAAATAAGATATACTACCTTTGATTGTTTTTTGCAATTTTAGCTAGGTTTTTGCAAATAAACAATTGGTGGCATATAAGCTAAAGTAAACCAGCCGAAAATTCGTAACTGTTAATCAATAGTTATATAGCAATTTTGTAATATTTACGAGAGTCTTGAACATTTCATATATGTGACGTAAGTTTTGAGCTGATTTTTATACCCTGCGCAATTTTGGTCGGTTTATGTTTCGCTGGTTTGTCTACTCTCATAAAATTGTTCCAGATTGAATTGAGGCAAGTTTGTCTACTCTCATAAAATTGTTCCAAATTGAATTGAGCTAATAGGTTGTATTAATTTTGTACTACTCACATATTACTCTTGATTTAAAAACATCCATTTGACAACTATTTAGGGGCAGTCAGTGCTTTGCCCTGCTATACGAGCAATCAAGTTTAATTTTTTAAAACCGCAAAGCATTTCAATTTGAAATATTTACAATCGCGCTCAGACTTTTTCATTCTTACACAAAAATTTTCACTGTGAAACCAATTGACAAATATTGTCTAGTCCTCCTGCCCTTTTGCAAAAAACATATATTCATTTTGTATTAATTGTTGAATTATTGTCAGTTTACGAATAAGTTGAATTGTCAATTTTTCAACTGAAACTTAAGAAACCCTACTGAATAGTCAAAATAAAAAAATAATTACTGCTTTTATGAGTAAAACCTATTCGTTGCGTTCAATGATTCGAATCAAAATTAGAAAAAATAATGAAAACACCGATTTTATTCAAACTGTTTTCTGAAGTGTTATCAAGTGGTGTAGTTTATAATCTGACCACGGCACGAAGTTTCGGGAAGGACCTATGGCGTAGGGTTGAATTTTACATTTAAGAAATTGTATTTGTGACGAAGAAATCTGCATAAGTTTTTCTGTTTATAGGGCTAGAATAAGTGAATCAGTGAAGGACTGAACTTGCAATTTTAATCTGTTGCAAATATAAAATAAATGATTGTTGAAAATTTAGTCCTGCTTAGTGGCTTAATTGTTCACCTGATTAGCTTAGAGTTTTTTGAATTTTATTTTTCAATAAGTTCTTCATTTGTTTGATAAATTTAACCCAAGTTTAAAAAACTGGATTACAAGGAAAGTTTGTTATTCCGCTGGGAAATCTAAAAACTAAATTCTACAATCGAAACTAGAAATCGACCACGTTTGTTATGACCATTTCGGCTTCCATAATTGGAGAGAGAATTTTAACTGCCTTCTAGCAAATAGATGTGAACTGAACATTCAAAAAGCATATACACTTTTCGATGAAAAGCTTTTGCTCAAAAAGCAAAGGGCATTCCTCGTGCATTTATAAGTATGAACGCAATTCTTTTGTTGATACAATGTTAAAAGACGTTTCTTGAAAAAATACTATAAAAATATATATCATCACGACATTTATAAGAGTCTGAAGTACATTCATCGACTCTTTTATAATACCCATTCAAGTAAAAATTAAGTTTCATATTTTATTAAATGAACGGTCTTACATCTAATTTCAAATGCAATGACAAAAAGCGAAAAATAAACCTTAGCATACAGCTGTTAGTGCAATTATGATTGAGTTTTTTAATCACATATGCAACTGAAACTGAAACAGATGCGAGGCGCTTCGAGCTGAGTAAAATTTAAAATTGCTAATTCAAAACGGCACGCTCGAAAATCGGTACAATACCCAAAACAATCAAACTTTTTAAAGTAAGATAGGCACGTGCTGTTATGATTGAAAGTCCGTTTGCTTTATTTTTAAAATCAATCACGGTGATATAGTTTTTATCCGAGGTTCATTTCTGTTGTTTTCTGAGTTATTATCAATTTGCCATTTTTTGGTAATGGAAAATTAAGGCAAGTCAAGAATAACCCATACATAGATGAGCAATGGTCGTATTATATCGAGGTCTTCACGGCTGTGCTTTGGATTACAAAATTATCAAACAGTCAACGCATGTTTCTAGTTTCAGCCTTATTTAAACAAAAACGTGAGCAAAATATTGACCATGCTTTCTAGTTTTTCTATATTTTTGCGTAATAATAGCTATCAACATCTCATTTCATAAAATTAACTGATTGAAGCACCTCTTATTGTCAGGAAAAAAAACATAAAATTAGAAAATCTATGAGATTTTTATGTTTTTCTTAATTGAATTATTTTATTTCAACTACTACAGATGGAAACTTTGTACCACTATTATAGCTATTCATTAAATGAAATCCAATCGACAACCTGACTACGGGTTTCAGAATCAAAAAAGTCTCTCCTTCAACAAACTGTCCTTATTCATGATAGTTTGCTGCAACGACTTCAGAAATTTTACCAGGTTAATGTTAACTAGCAAGCGTGTCTCCCATGATCAATCGGCTTGCAAAAATTTGGTTATTCTGATCAAGCGATTCAAGTTTTTCGAAGCAAGCAATTCAAATTATGAAACTTTGAAATGTTTATTTCAAAAAGTTTATTTCAAAAAGCGAATCAGTCCACGAAAACTGATTTCTTTATAAGCTAATTTAATACATTTCCAATTGATTTTTAGACCAAAAATTGTGTTCCGAGTAACTTTAGTTTTCTTGCGCAAGCTATTCAAGCAAGGAAACTTAAAAATTTTTCAAATTATTTCAAGTAACACCGTAAGCAAGAAAAATTTTAAAATTTTCAAATTATTTCGGGCTTCTTTTAAAAGTAAGCTATTAAACCTTGAACTATTTCATGTTAATTCACGAAAAATTTGGATGTCGAAAAATTTTAGGTTTCCAATTGGAGCCATCAACCAATAAAATTTGTAAGCTTTTCAAGTTATTTCATAGACCGAATTGGTTTGCGACAAATGATTTTTCTCAGGCAAACTATTCGGGCCATGAAACTGCACAACTATACCAGGAATCGGATGACGAAAAATTATAAATTTTCTATAGACGTTTTTCAAC